CTGCAGTTCCAGGAGCTGTTCTAGATGTGCCAAGTTCTGCTTTATAAATGTATCAGTGCCAGTGACTGCTGCTTCTGGCAGTGCCTACTCAGAAGGCAGGGCTGTGACACTGACACGATCCATTTGTGTCCCCTCATTGGATATCCCAGTTTGCTCTGTGAGAAAGCACAGACAGTGAGCAATTGTTGTCTCTGTCGGATCTCCAACTTGCAGGCCATTGTCTGCTGCCCCACATATTCCCCTGCTCAGTCTATGATATGAATATTGATGAGCAGCAGACGCCAGGGGCCTTTGAATTAGCCAGAATCAAAGACGATGCTGCACATGTTCCCATTACTCATCCGTCTCCATCAGCATCACTTTCCCCAAGGTGCTGACTCAATGTCTGCAACAAACAGGGCAGGCAGAAACCCACCTATGGGCTGGATCACTGCAAGGTGTCCCCCATAGAGAGCAGAGCCTCTCCTCTCCCAGCCCTACCTTTGCACATGTCGCTGATCCTCTCCTTGAAGACGTTGTGCCCGCGGTCGTCCACGTGGGTCTTCAGGAAGTTCTTGAAGCGGTGGTAGATCTCAAGGCGGGGAGCTGCCATGGACACCCACTCCCTCACCGAGTGCCCCTTCATGTCCTCCAGGTTCTCGATGCTCTCAATCATGTCCTCATCCTCCTCTTCCATGCCATCCGCAGCGCGCTCCGCCAGGCGCCTCTTGCGCGAGGGACGATCTTCATCTTCATCATCGCTATCTGAGGGTGGGAGGGAAAGCTCTCAACAGGATTCCCATTCTCACCCTTTGGATTGGTCTCAGCTGTATTTCACCGGCTGCTGAAGCCAAGAGGTCAGAGCCTGGGATACACACCAAGAACCACCCCAGGGCCCAGCCTAATTCCAGTTCTACATCTTCCACAGCAGAGCTAAAGACTTTATGGGGCTGAATAGGATTCCTATGCAACAGCACACACACATCCATTAATGCATGGAGGGATGAGGCGCCAAAGAATGGGCTTCCAAGTGCATCAATGGTCCTCCCACCCATCCCACAGATGGATGGAACACCAACAGACCAGACAGCATACACGTGGTAGGTTCCCCAACCCTTGATGCAGGCCCAGCATCCTCATTTTTGTTTCAGCAGTGAACACATAACCAGAACACACCAAATACGCTCCTAGGAATCCCAAAACAAAGGGACCGCGCAGTGTGGAGTCCACAGCCTGAGGCTTCACCACCCCAAGCACACTGGAGCTCTAAAGACCTCCCTGCTAACCCCGCGGGGGTGAATCCAGCTCCCCATAGGAGCTGCTTGCAGCTCCCCATACACAAGCATCCTGCTCGGCACAGCTCATCTCCACCTACCGTAGAGCAGCCCCCTCCTCATGCGGCCCATGCCCTGCTCCAGCTCCCGGTCTCGCTGCCTCATGACCCGCTCGGCAGCTTCCCGCTGGCTGGCTGTGAGCTCCTCCACGTCCTCATCGTCCAGGGCCAGGCCCTCTGCTTCGTAGACGTCCAGCTCGGGGATGGGGCGGTAATCCCTGGTGCACACACACAGCATAGGGTCAGGACACAGCCAGGACACATCCTGCCCCTCCCTGGCTACTGCTGCGGGGTGTCAGAGCAGTTGCTCTGCAGCAACAGCCTTTAACCTGCCCGAGGGGAGACTGAGATGAGCTCTTAGGCAGAAGCTCTTCCCTGTGAGGGTGCTGAGGCGCTGGCACAGGGTGCCCAGAGAAGCTGTGGCTGCCCCATCCCTGGCAGTGTTCAAGGTCAGGTTGGACACAGGGGCTTGGAGCAAGCTGCTCTAGTGGAAGGGGTCCCTGCCCGTGGCACTGAGTGAGCTTTAAGGTCCCTTCCAACCCAAACCATTCTATGATTTTATGATCACGATGGCACTTTGTCCAGCTGCTCTTCAGCCCCCTCACCGCGGCTATCAGCACGGCAGAGGGATCCCCCTATGTCATTGCTGCACTGACATCCCGTTAGCAAACCCCATCCCCACCCCACCCCCACCGGTCTCCTTACCTTTCCATCCCTTCCCCGATGAGCTCTTCCCCTTCCTCCTCCTCTTCGGGGAGCCCTTCGGTCCCCAGGAGCCCTTCGGACTCATCCTCGAAGGGGGGCAGGTCCCGGCCGGGGCTGGAAGTGAAGGCATCGCCCCGGCGGGAGCTGCGCACGGGGCTGGTGGCCGCTGCCTGCGACTCGGAGGAGTCCTGCAAGGACGCGGAGCGTCAGGGGGCACCGGGGGACAGCGGAACCGGGGCGTCCAGGGGCGGGGCATGGACCACCGATGGGGAAGAGATTAAAACCCTCATCCCAACGGGAGTGCAGGGAACCCATCCTCCGATCCCCCTGGCCCGGCTATCGCTCCCGTGCGGGGCATGGGGAAAACGTCCCTGTGCACGTCGGGTATCCCCATTCACCCCCCCGCCCCGATCCCCACTGGACACAAGGCGACCGTGACCGCAGTGGGGGGGAACCGGGGTCTGCACCCTGAGGCTTAACGGGGACGTCCCGTCCCGTCCCGTCCCGTCCGCTCACCGCCATGGCCGCCGCGTCTTCCTAGCCGGCTGAATTCCGCGCGAAAACGGACCCACGTGGTCGGCGAAAGCGCGCGAAACCTCATGAATAATTAATCTTCCCGGGGACGTGGCCAGCCCCGCCCTTGAATGTGGATGAGGAGGGGGGCGGGGCTGCAGGAAGGGGCAAATTTGGGCAAAGTGGGGTAAATTTGGGCATTTCCCTCTGGTCTGCTCCTCTCCGGCATTGATCCCGGTGGGAATTCCAGCGGTCATGTCCTCATGCCTGCCCCAGCAGGTGCAATCAAGCCCCGGAGCCGCGGGACCCCCGCTTGGAGCAGCTGCACTGGGGCTCACAGCCCCGCTGCAGCGGTGGGAAGGGAGCCGGGTGTTCAGTGGGAGCTGCCCCCGGCCCCCAGGCGGGCATTCGGGCACCGGCACCTTTAAGTCTCCCCAGGTCCCGCCTCCCGCGGCTTCCCATTGGCTCACGGCGCTATTTCTTTGGGCCTCTTTAACAGCGCGTCCTCCGCTGAGGTTCCGGATTGGCCCAATCGTGGCCTGCTTCAGGGATCCTCTCTCAATAGGCGCAGCTGCACCCGGACGAAAGGGGGGCAGCCCCTGCGCTCTGCCCGTGCGGCGCTCGGCTTCAGCCGCTCTTTAGCGACGTTCCCTGGCTGTGGGGAGCGGCGGGGCCGGGGCCTGGTATGGCGGCGCTGCGGCCCCAAGACTGAGCTCTGCCTCCGGCTGGGGCCCGTGGTGGGTGCGAGCGGGGCCGGCGGCGGGGCGGGGGCACGGGGAGGGCTGTTGGGGGGCGCCGAGGCACCGCGGGCCTGGGGGGGCTGTCCCGATGGCGCGGCGTGGTGGCGGCTCTGGCCCTGTGAGGTGAAGCGGGTTCGGTGCCAGCCCGCGGAGCCCGCTGGGTTCTGCCCCATGCAGGAGCTTCAGCCGGCCCCGAGCGGTGTTTTGTGGCAGCCGGGAGCCCTCCTGTGGCAGCAGCGCCCGCAGGCAGCGCTGTCTGCTGGGCAGGAGGTAACCGGAGGATTTCCCCTGCTTTCCGGTCCATTGGCGGCCTTTAGACCCGAACCCGGCAGTGCGGCCTTGCCAGCGGGGGTGAAGTGACCGTAGGCCGGCGCTGTGCTTTAGCTGCCGCCTTCTCCAGGAACCAAAACCAAAACCAAACCAGCAACAACAATCAGGATGCTCATTTCTGACAGAGATCTGCGAACTGGGATGGTTCTGGTCCGACGGTCTGGGTAATACCGATGGTTTTGGGTTATGGCCCGTACTTCTGGGGCTTAGTTTTGGTTGGGTTTAGCGTTGCAGTTACTTGGAGTTCAAAATAGGCTCTGAGGATGAAGCTTGGAGAAGGGGAGGTCTGGAACTCCCCTGTCTTGTGAGTGCTGAGGGTGGAATGCGAAGCACAACTGTTGTGACCAACAGGGTTAAAAAGGAACAGCTTAAAGTGGTTTGCAGTTGTCGTGTCTTGTGTTGGATTTTAACTCACTGAAGCAACAGTTGTATTAAAGCAAGGGGCTGGGCTGGTGTGGGTTTAAGGAGCAGCCATACCCTTGCTATGATCTGTGCTTGCAGGGGTTTCTGTTGCTGCCTTCAGAAGGGAATAAAACTTGCGTTTTTGAATGGAAGCCTGGCAGTGTTTAACTCCCCTTCATGTGGTCAGGCTTTGAGAGCACAAATTGATGTGAGCCCCGGGCTTCACTGAGCTCTGCTGCAGCTGTAGTGGGGTGAATCAAGAAACAACATCCCCATGGTATGAGGTGATCATGGTCCTGCAGGTGCAGCTGGGATGCAGCAACCAAGGATCAGCTGCAGTGCCTAAAGAGGCTACAGGAAACCTGGAGAGGGACTTTGGACAAGGCTCTGTAGGGACAGGACAAGAGGAATGGCTTTAACCTGCTAGAGGGGAGACTGAGATGAGCTCTTAGGCAGAAGCTCTTCCCTGTGAGGGTGCCGAGGCGCTGGCACAGGGTGCCCAGAGGAGCTGTGGCTGCCCCATCCCTGGCAGTGTTCAAGGCCAGGCTGGACACAGGGGCTTGGAGCAAGCTACTCCAGTGAAAGGTGTCCCTGCCCATGGCAGGGGTTGGAACTGGATGAGCTTTAAGGTCCCTTCCAACACAAATCAGGCTGGGATTCTGGTTATGGTCAGTTGAGCTGCCCTCTTTGGGAAAGAGAGACCAGGACTGTGGCAGTGATTTCCTCACGTGGCCGGGCTGGTTTGACCCCTGCAGGCTGGGCTGGCTGCAGAGCACAGTGGGATGAGTGATGCCTGGGCTATGCTCAGCTGACTGGGTTAATTTTGGACCAGGCAGGGCTGTGGACAGTGAGGCGCTGCTGTGGGTGACGAAGCCTTCCCGGATCCTTCCCATCAGTTCTGCTCTTGTTGCTGAGGGATTTTGCTGGTAATTTCCTCAGGAATTGAACAGTTCCTCACATCCTTGCTGTAGGGTTTAGCTGTTGGGAAGCGGGGGCATTGCGCTGTCTGGCTGATGGCTTTGCTGCCCTGTCCTATCCTCCTGGGTGTTCTGTTTGCTCCAGCTTGGCAGGAAGAGCAGGACCCCAGCACCTGGCTGTAGCGAGCAGCCTGGCTGAGGTAAGCCTAATTCTGCTTTGCCCTTTGGAACCTTGTGAGTGGAGCTCTGTTCCATGGGGCCAGCTCCTCTCCTATCAGCAGCTCCCTGCTGCAATGCAATAGTGGTGGCTTCTAGAGCAAAAAGAGTGGAGCCTGTTTGTTCCTTTTATAAGGAAATTGTTATTCCCATGTAATTCTCACAGCTTTATCCTCAAGCTCTTGTCAGTCTGACAGGCAGATGGAATTCTTGTGCAGGAAGAGTTGTTAGGAGGTGTGAGGGTTTGCAGTTGCTAGTGTTATTCTGCCCATGCTCTGTGAGGTCTTTTGAAGTTACTAACTGAAAATCACTCTCAGCAGTGTCAATTCAAAGGGAGAAGCTGGAAGGAAGGGAGGACACTTCTGGAGATAAGTATGGAATGTCAAGGTTGCCTGCTGGAACTTCCGCTGGGATTTTTGGCACAAAGTTGATCTTTCCAGGTCTGTGTGTTTAATGTGACATCGCTTGTGCCGCACAGCATATGGCAGTCACAAAGAAGAATCCCTCCTCAGTGAGTGCCTGCCAGCATGGATGAGCCAAGGCAGCATTTGTTGGTTGAGGTGGGATGATCCCTTGGCCCTCAGAGGACCCACAAAGAATCTCAGCCTCTGCAGAGGAAGGGGATCCTGTGGCTTGACAGCCTGTGGGCAGGGTGCTGCACAGCTCTGAAAGCTGACACAAGGCTGTGCTGAGCCTTTCCAATCTGTGACTCAGCCAGGACCTCGCAGGGAAACACCTTGTGAGTGCTGGCCCTGGGGCTGCCAGGTCCTGCCAGGGCTGAAGTCAAACAGGGAGAGCTGTTCTGAGGGATCCTGGATTAGCTGTGGCACATGGAGTGCTTTCCCTGGCAATTTGCCCCTTTAGCATGTCAGCTAATAGAGTTTATTTGTGTGTCCGTGAGCACCTCTTTAGGGAATGCCAGGAGGGGTGGCAGGACCTTGTGCTGGTGTTGAGCTTGTAGCCAGCCAACTGCCTTAATGGTGAGGTTGCTGCTTTAGGGTGAGGAGGGGATTTGCACAAGGTGATAGGAGATCAGGAGCTTGGCAAGGAGAATCAGGTCAGACCCTGAGCGTACACTGAATCCTGATCGAATGTACTCTGTGCCATAGTCCACTTCTAAGGCTACTGTAGAACAACAGAGGATAAACTGCTGCTGGCACGGGCATGGAGCACATGGAGTTTAATGGATGGCAGAGCAGAGCTTCGCTTTGACTTCTGGAGGGACAGTTAATATTGCAGCAGTTCAGGGCCTGGGGGATGGAGAGGCGGTGGAAAAGACATGACAGTTCTCTCAGCGAAGGCAGTACAGAGAGGTTTCATCATGGGAACTTCTGTCCTGCCATCTTCCTGAGGGGCAGGAGAGGTTTAAAGTAGGGTAGGCACAGGAACTCTCCTGATTCTGACCAGAGCTCCCTACTGCCTGTGGGTTTGGCCCATTAGATAGGCCTGTGTCTGCTTCTGGGTTCATGAACCACTAGTGCAGCTGCTGCTCTGTGCTGAGAAGGGCAGTGCAGTTGAGACTGGTGGATGGAAAGAAGCTGGAGAATCACAGCCTGGTTTGGGTTGGAAGGGACCTACAAGCAAGAGGTTTTGGGTAGCAGCCTTCATGTTTTTCTTTGCAATAGCTGAAATCAAATAATAGACTGTAACTTCCTGATCTTGGGAGCTAGAATGATAACGAATGCTGTGGTGCTGCAGGGTTGCTGTCTCATCTGATGATGCCATGTATTGCTTCTGAGTCTTGATTTCTTTTTCCTATGAATATGCCAAAGCTCAAAGTCACACAGTTTACTCCAACATGGTATGGTGCTAGTTTGAAGGTGTTTGTTACTGTGATACAGGTTAGCGTGTTCGTGCTGTCCACCCTACTGCTATGTGCAGAGTCAGGGCAGGTGGCATTTCATTGTGCAAGAGTATCTGTGATGATGATAACCTGCTGTAACCAGCAGGAAGCAGTTGTGCAGGGGCCTAATGGCAGGGATGAGTTTTCTACCTCTGACTCAACTGATGTAATGTTCCTTTTTGCCTCTGCTGTGGTTGCCTTGCGCTCTGTTTGACCTGGACCAGGAGGAAGGCAGGATGTTCCAGTCCGTGATGCCTCTGAGATTCTCCGTGTCTGACAACATCACCCATTCGACTGCCTTGGTGACAGCCCTGGATAATGTGACAAGCTTGTACCCAACGACAACACAGGCAACCAATGACACCAACATCACTGTGCCGCACAAGTGCCTGTTGTTGCTCTATGAGGACATCGGGAAGTCCAGGTGAGATGGAGGAAATGGGGCCAGAGGAAAGAGCTTTTGTTCTCAGGGTTTGTTGGGCAGGGGCTGGGCCTGGTGCCTTCCCTCCTGCCTGCTGCAGAGCAGGAAAAAACCCTATTTATTTACCTTTTGCAGAGTCCGCTACTGGGATCTTCTGCTCCTGGTGCCCAATGTGCTTTTCTTTGTGTTCCTTCTCTGGAAGCTGCCCTCTGCCAGGGCCAAAATCCGGGTCACTTCCAGCCCCATCTTCACTACATTCTACATCCTAGTGAGTACCTCTCTGTGCTTTAGAACTGAGGAGTGAGGGGGTAGCGTCACTGAACTGGTGGAGAGAGAGCCCAGGCCAGCTCCTGCAGAGACAAAGCCTGTTTTAGCTGAAGGTGAAGGTGTGCTGCACAAATAGACAGATTCTGGGCCCATACCTGCAGGATTTGAGTGGATTTTGTTCTCCTGTGGTGATTTTTGTTTTCCCTCTTTATTCTTTTGTTGCTTTCTTGTCTTTGAATCTAGTATCTTACACTTGCTCCTTGCACTACATAGCAAGTGACACAAAACCAGTTTCGCACTAAGGCAGTAAAAGTGAAACTGGTAAACACCAAGTGTGAAGCTGTTAGGAACACCACTCAGAAGCTCTGTCATAGGTGCTTTTTGAGATCCTGGTTTGTCTCAGTGTGTAGCATAATGCATTTGTGTTCTTCAGTGTTTTAAGAAGCGTCCCTATTCAATATTATAGCAATAAATGAAAGGGAAGCAGCAAGTGAACTGACTTGATGCTGCCGCTGTTTCAAAACAGAGCAAGAAGCAGGAAGTAAAGGAACAGCCCATCCTGGTTTAACCCCAGCCTACAGCTCGGCCCCAGCACCTCACACTTTTACCCTTCATGGTGGGATAGGGTAAAAGGGAGAAAAATTGTGGGTTGAGATAAAGACAGTTTAATCTGTAAAGCAAAACATGGAATTCCTTCAACACTTCAGCCATCCCCAGGAGAGCAGGGCTCCAATATGTGTAATGGTGACTTGGGAAGACCAACACCATCACTCCAAACATTCCTTCTTTCCTTCTTCCAGCTTTACATGCCGAGTATGATGCCATGTGGTCTGGAATATCCCTTGTGTCAGTTGGGGTCAGCTCTCCTGGCTGTGTCTCCCTCAAATGCTTGTATAGCCCCAGCCTCACTTGTGGGGTGAGGAGCAGAAAAGCTCTTGGCCCTGTGTAAGGCTCAGCAATAACAACAACATCGCTGTGTGATCAACACCGTTTTCAGCACAAATCCAAACCACAGCCCCGTACCAGCTCCTGTGTCCCAGCCAACACCAGCACACAGCCTGAGAGGAAAATGCCTCTGTTCAGTTTGACCTTCTGGAGTATGTTACTGGGAAATGAGGTGGAAGTGTGTTCTGTGGGGATTTCCTTTCAGATGGCTGTTTGTCCTGTCTTAAAGGAATGCTTTCTTGTGGAGTCAGTGATTAAAGCCAGGTTAATAGATTGGGAAGAGTACCTACTTAAGAGAGGAAGCCAAAAGGGTGGATTTTCCCCTCCCATGAGCTGTTGCTGTTGTACAGCACCATTATACTCAGGGACCTTTCTTTTTTGTCTGTGTTTTGCCCCAGAGTTTTCCACCCCAGGAGAGTGGTGGTGTATTCTCCTTTCATGCTATTTGCATCCTTCTTCCTCTGAGGAAAAAATATTTACTGTAGGTGACTTGTTGATCATTTCCATTCTCCAGCCACCGTAGAATCAGCTTGGACTCTTCATTCTTTAATAGGTTCAGCTGCCTCATACCCTCATCATTAGAATTAGCTTATGACTTGGAGTCTGATCTGGAAACTCTGCTTTCTGCACAGCAGAGGGGAGGTACATCCAGCTGAGCTCTTAATTGCATCCTGTGGCTGTGCCAGCACACGGGTTGGTAAATTAGCCTGGCTGAGCCCCATGCTGTCATGCTTAAATGGTGCCTGAGCCCAGTTGGGTATCTCTGCACTGAGCAGCAGGGTGAGATGCATTGAAGCTGGTGGCTGCAGGTGATGTTTAACTCTGCATTCCTGAGCACAGTCAGAGGTGAGTGAGGGAACCACAGGTTTGAGCTTTACCACAGATCTGAAGTGTGGGACTTGGTGTCAAGTGGCTTCTGTTATCTGATGAGACTGGTTTATTCAGTCACACCATGCACTTGATCTTCTAACTTGGAGGGATGTGGGTTTTGTCTTCTTCTTCTTCTCCCCTGTCCATGGACTGAAGGGTGGGAAGGCTGTTTGCCTATAAAGATGCTGTAAGATGCTTTTTTGCTATAAAGATGATGTAAGGAGTGGATGAGACCTCAGAGCTGTTTAATCTGACATTGAGGAGATTTGTTATTTCCTAAATTCCAAGACGGTGTTCCTCCATCTAACAGGCCTGAGGCATCTTTGGCAAATTAATCTGCTACAGGAAAGCCTTAGGACACTGGAAAGCTGGCCTGGAAACGATTCCAAAGGGATTTCTGGTCACTACTGCATACGTGCCTTTCGATGGGAACTCACTTTTGGTATCTCTCTGTGTAGGTATTTGTGGTGGCTTTAGTTGGCATTGCCCGTGCTGTTGTCTCCATGACTGTGAGTGCCTCTGATGCTGCCACAGTTGCTGATAAGGTAGGTGCAACACTGATTTTAGAGGCTGTGCTTATTGCAGCTCTGAGCACAGCAATCTGTTACAGCTTCCCTTTATGTGCATGCAAGAGGGATGTGTGTTTTTGCAGTACTCAGCTATGTGTACAATGGAATCCTGTTGTGATAGCTGTATCTAAATGATCACAACATCCAGGGCTGTAAAACAATGGGCTTCCTAAAATAGGTACACAACTAATGGCAGCAAAACTTTCCTGTTGCAGGGCTGAAATGACTCTGCTTTGCACAAGCTGAACATTCAGACAGGCAAGACCTGCCCTTTGTTACTCCAGTGTTTGAGTGGCTCTATGGAAAAGATTGAATTCTTTTGTATTGAAAGCAAATAAACCCAAATTCCCTTTTGAAACCAATATCTGAATGTCCTTGTAGCACTGAGCACAGGGTGAACCTTCAGCAAACAGGAAATAGCCTTGTACATGCTGTTCCTCTGTACTCACTTACAGCAGAACATTACCTAAACCAGAGAGCTGTGTAGTTCTTGAGCTGTTAGGGGAAGAAGAGCTGCAGAGTCCAGGTCTCCTGGCTTTATTCTCGGGGATCAGTGGTGGTTCTGCTTTTCCCTTTCCTGCTACCTGACAGAGCACTGTAATGCACTGCTTGGTGTGAGCAGATGGATGTTGGCAGCATTTTCCTTCACCTCTGTTGGGGGGATGGAGATGCAGGACTTGAATGATGGAGGAGAGGTGGGAAGGTGCTTTCCTTCAGCTCTGGTGCTGCTGCTGAGTGCACTGCGTTGGGAGTCATGCACTAAGACACAGACTCAGGTTTTCCTGTAAGCGCATGTTCTGTCATGTCTATTATGTTTGGTTGGTTTTCTCTCTCATACATATACACACTGTGCATTTACTGACATTAGAAGTGTCTCCTTAAATACCTCTTAAACTATTGTGTGTCTTCAAGAGGTGCCTTTCAGTGTTTATGGGCAAAGCATTAATAAGCTGGAATCTGGGTTCTTGATCTAGGCTTGGCTGTGATTTATTGCATGACTACCTGGAAAGCTGCCTCACCTGCTGGTTTCTTACCTTACCAAACAAAACCTGGGAATGGAAAGGACAAGCTGGAAGTGGGAGGGCTTTAGAGTTGAATGTGCTTCAATAGAGGGACCAGAAGCTTTGGAGGAGCTTTGGAGGAGTGTTTGTTCAGGCATTACTGCAGAGTCTGCTACTGTAAGAACCAGCCATGTTCACTGTTATACATCTGAGGTGCTCATGGGTTTGTGCTCCTTGGGAGTAGAGCAGCAGAACACATGCATGACAAGTGACAGATCCTCAAGTGTGGCAAACTGTGGCCACTTCCTCTCTCGGCAGGCATGCTGCTGGCTCTATTCAGAGCCTGCTGTCTCCTGGAGCAGGGAGTGCAGTTTTGGTGTATTCACTTCCAACCCTGGCTCCATCTAATCATGCTTGTCTGGTTTCTGTTAACCCTCAGATCCTGTGGGAGATCACAAGGTTCTTCCTTCTGGCGATTGAATTGAGTGTGGTGATTCTAGGTCTTGCCTTTGGTAAGTGTCAGGAGAGTTTTGAGTGCTTTGAATGTTTCCTGTTCCCTTTCTGTCTGCATCTGTGAGTTTGGGGGATGCTGATCCTATAAAGGGAAGGAGGTCTAGGATAAAGACATAGGACACATTGATGAGTTTGTTATAAATGGTTGAAAGCCTGGTTGCATTTGCAGATCTATGGCTTGTGATTTGCTTGTCCTGTATGCATGTGATGGAGACAGCTTAGGGGAAGAAGACTTGTGCAAAGATCAGCAGTCTGATCCTTGCTTGAGCCCCATTTTATTTAAGGTGGTTCCTTTGGTCGTCCGAGTGGTTAAGTGAGCTTTAACCTGCCCTTGAAGGCCTCTGGAAATACAAGTGTTTCCCCCTATTGCTTTTGGAGAGGACTGATTTTGACCAGGGCTGGGATCACATCCTGAGTCACTTGTGTATTGCTTAATTCCAGGTCACCTGGAGAGCAAGTCCAGTGTGAAACGAGTTCTGGCAATCACTACAGTGCTGTCCCTGGCTTATTCTGTCACCCAGGTGGGTACATGGGAGCAGAAGAGTTAGGCTTTGCTTGGGGTTAGGCAATTGCCTGCAGGACTCCTATCTGGAAAGTGGCAGCTTTGATCTTAAGATGAGGTTTTGTGGGAAGACTGGATGCTTTGGCAGTGTGTGAGGATCCCAGAGAGCGAACACCAGACTCCATCTCCTTTATGGCAAGAATGGCTCAGCCACGGTGAAGAACTGAGATGAGGTTTAGATGGATTTAGCGAATCTTGAAAGGGGAGTGAGAGGCTTTCACACCCGAGCCACAAGTTCTGACTCAAGCCTCAAGTGCTAGGATAGGGAGATGGAGAGACCTGAGGTGCTTGCTTAGGCAAGGGCAGTGCAATGAGCCTCTTGTCTCTGACATTTAAGAGCTGAGAGCTCTTGCTGCCCTTCAGACTGGCAGCTGGCTTGTGAGCTCTGTTCCTCAGCTGCGTCTCCATCTCTGAACAATGCCGTGTGTGTCTGGGGTTATTCTCCTTCTCGGTGTTGAAGTGGTCAGCCCTGTGTCTCTGTGCTTGGGGCAGCACCAGGATAACACACAGATCTTTGTTTTGTGACCAGGCTCCTGCTTACGGAGGCAGTGAGCTGATCAAAGCTGAGGAGCCTCAGAAATATCAAGTGCTGGAGCTATATCTGGGTGTTTACAAGCACTTTTCCCTCTCCACTCTATGTGGTAGCTTCTGTTCATACCATTCTTTAAGCAATTCAAGTGAATGAGACTTTTATGTGTGGGCTTTTAGATTCTGGATGCTTCAGCAGAAAGGGTCTACTTTAAAGATGGAAATGGAGCTCTGTGTATGTTAGCCAGCTGCTTGAAATCTTATCCCTTCATTTGGTCTCTGTCCTGGAATGTCATTGATGTTGGTATTGTACAGATGCAGGTTCCTGTCACTTTTTTCCTCCCCTCATGTCTTCAGTTTCTTCCTCTCTTCCAGTGTGAGCTTGACTTGCTCTAAGCAGGGCAATAGCTGGGTCCTGGGGGGAGGGACAGCTCTTGTCTGAGCTTCTCCCATGTCCAGACACCCACTGTAGTGAGGGTGCTGCCTGCAGCAGGATCATGTTGGTGCCACTTCTCTCCTAGGGCACCCTGGAAATCCTGTACCCTGATGCCCACCTCTCAGCAGAGGACTTCAACATCTATGGCCATGGAGGGAGACACTTCTGGCTTGCCAGCTCCTGCTTCTTCTTTCTGGTAAGTACTGGCCATGAGTTAAGCACTTTGATAGCTTCCTTGTATGTTCTGTGTGGGGCAGGGAGGATGATTTGTGTATAAGGTAGCCTTAGCACTGCGGATTCAGTGCAGCATTGATGCTGCCCCCATGGCAGGGAAGCTGAAGCAGGAAAGGTGTGGTGGGAGTGGGATACACTGTGGCAGGTGAATTCCAACCGAAGCAATGTTCTTTACTCCTTGTTTTTCAGCGACCAGCCTTTATGTGCTGATGGGGTGAGGTCTGGGGCCTTCATATCTGCACTGGGTTTAGTATCAGGGGTGTGTGCCTCTGTCCTGAGGCATCTATAGCCATGTGTGACACCGCACACCATCCCTGCAAAGATTGCCAAGTTCAGCTGCCAAGCAGCAGTGGAACAGTTACTCTTTGTCTCAACAGGTCTATTCCTTCGTGGTGATTCTTCCAAAGACTCCTCTGAAAGACCGGATTTCCTTGCCCTGTAAGTGACTGTGGAGTGTTCCATAGGATAGGTGGAGGCATATCCTATATTCCGTAGGATAGGTGGAGGCAGAGCCAGGATAAGCGTAGGTGGAAGTAAGAGGTTCCTGTATGTGGTTGCACTGCAGATATATACCACTGTCTTGGGGTACAGATGCATGGCTAAGGACTGATAAGTTATCCCTGGAAAAATAGTATGTTTTGCCCTTTGGAGAGCAATTACTTTGCTACTTCAGTAGCTAAACAATTACATAAAGAAAACAAGATTTACTACTCAGCTAATGATACAGATGCAATGTGGCTACATTATCTTGCAGAGAGATGGGAAGAAATAGCTCCTTAATAACAGCTTCCTTTGAGCTGTGTGTGTGAAGTTAATGAGTACATGTTGGTCATCCCCAGGGAAAGAAAAGCTCATTGGAGCTGCTTAGCAGTTTTCATCTGGGCATTTGCTTTATTAAGAAGCTGCTCTGGTTTCTCTTTGTTGCAGAGTATCTGCAGTCCTTGAGCTGGGGGAGAAGCTGTTACTCAGATGTTTGCATTGGGCTGTTCTCTTAAGTAATGTCGGGATCTGTGTGTGGTACCCTGAGGGAGGGGAATGTGGCACACGCCACAAGCAGCAGGTCCTGGGCCTGATGTGCTCCTGAGCAGCTCTCCTGAGCTTTGTGAGTGCTGTGCATTGGAAGGGCACAACTTGTGGTGGAGCTCTAGGGTTTTTGGCTTTTCTTGCACTCAGTTATGTGGCTCACACTGGTTCCAGATGCTTGACTCCAGAATCTTTGCATGTGTTGCCATGACTGTGTGATTTCAAAACCCACCTGGTGTGTGTATTCATGCAGGGCAGGGTATGGTTTAGCCCACTATACCTCCATCAATCCTGCCAGCGTGGGGCAGCAAGATGCACTCTTAGTTCTTCAGGAGTTCTTAGATAAGTTAGACCCTTCTGTTGGGTATGCCATCTCCATTGAACATATTTGCTCTGGGCTGGTGCTTATGAGGTTGAGTTTCATCTGTGTCCATGTTTCCCCACAGCCAGGAAGAGTTTTTATGTCTATGCTGGAATCCTGGCACTGCTGAACCTGGTGCAGGGCCTGGGCAGTGCCCTCCTCTGTGTGGATATCATAGAAGGATTGTGGTACGTACACTGGGGAGCAGCCCTGCAGTCTGACTTCTTGTGTTGTATGCGAGTGTCCTTCAATGCTGACTCTCCCAGGATAATAAACTTGTGCTGCCCTCCTAAGAAAGGGTAAAGCTGTTGGCTCTCTTGTGCCAAAAGACCTCGAAGTGGTGAGGAAGCTTAGTGGAGAGGTCTATGGAGCTGCATGGTCTTGAAGTGGTGAAAGTAATAGTTTGAATCCACTGATGCCTGGCCATTGGCTGGTGTTTTGCAGGTAATAAGGGAGGAAATGGCCTGTTTGCTAAGAATAGCATGGGGACTCCCTTGTTCAAACCTGCAGTGTGGCTCTGCAGGGATCCTTGTCACTGCTGAGTCAGAATTGGGAGCTCTGAGACTGCTCTTGGCCAGACCTTGGGTCTTTGCATGGTTCCCTCCAAGTGTCTAGAAGCAATGACACATGCCCATGGCAGTGTCTGTTACTCTGCATCAACCTGAAGTTGTTGAGCACAAGACTTCCCTTGTGTGACTGTTGTTACCCAGCTGTATTGTGTGTGTGTCCTAAATTCCTTCATGTTCCCTTTTGCTGTTGACAGCTGTGTTGATGCTACCACGTTCCTTTACTTCAGCTTCTTTGCACCTCTCATCTACGTGGCATTCCTGAAAGGCTTCTTTGGGTGAGTAGCCAGGGCCAGGAGTTCAGAGGGGATATATTGTCATTTCATTGTGTTGCACTAGAGTTCTCCCCATCTGTAGAATAAAAGGCAGTGACTGGAACAGGAAAGGGAACTTAGGGAACCAGTTTTGAATTTCTGGCCTTGAAGTTTTTCCTATGTGAGCCAGGGCTGTTTGCTTCTATCCAAGACTCCTTTATATGCAAAACAGAGCTGATGCTATATTCCTCTCAAATACTTCTTCAGTGTCTGCATCCTGTTTAGCACAAACTGAAGTTAACTAAATGTATAGTGAGAGATTGATTCCCGGAAGGCTGAATGTTCTTCGGGGTGGGTTTTGGGTTAGGTTTGTAGAAAGGCTCTGGGGGTTCGGTAACTCTGATTGAGGAATCCTCTGCTCTGAGCCCGAGCATTACCAGTTAAAGCCCTTGGGAGTGCGATTCCTGGCTCGCTGCTGCCGCTGTGTGGCTACTGGAGGAGCTGCAACTTGGTAGGAAAACCCCAAGTGGTTTAGTGTAGCTTCAGCTTTTAGTGTGCAGGAGCAAGACACAGCAGGCTTTACAATAACTAAAACATGCTGTACTCCTATGATATCCAAATGTGCCTCTGCTGCCTTTTGAAACCAGAAGGCAGAAGTGTCTGGAGTTAGAGATGGAAGCTGTAGATCCACAATATCCCTGTCTTGTATTTTGGTTTTCCCACTGCACACAGATGGAAGTTGAGATGTGTTGGCCACAGTTCTGTCAGTGTCAGTACTTCAGGACTCCCAAAGATGAGAGCACCTTTCCTGCGTGGAGATCGGATTCTGCCAGTTTTAGTTCTCTTAAGTGACTTAATCCAAAGTTACCTTTAGCATCACTTCATGGCAGTTACTCTGCCCAGTGAAATACACTGCTAGGTAGTGTGAAGAGGCTTTTAGGGTCTGAATAAGCAGTTTCTTAGTGCTGCTGAGTGTCAGTTAAGGATAAGTGGCTGTGGTACTACATTGTGATGCTACATTGCTGTGATACTACATTGTGATACTACACTGCTGTGATACTACATTGCTTAAGCAAGTGTTTTAAATCTTTATCACTGCAGGTCTGAACCGAAGATCCTTTTCTCCTACAAATGTCAGGTGGATGAACCAGAAGACGTGGACGTGCACCTTCCCCACCCTTACGCTGTTGCCAAGAAGGAGGGCCTGGATTCTGGCTTCTACTCGAGCACTCAGATTGACACAGCAGCCTACATGGATGACATGGCCTCTCTGCCCTACCATGTGGGCAGCGTCAACAGCATAGACAGTGACCGTTGGAAAGCCATCAACGCCTGAGCAGAGCTGCCTCATCCCTCTCCTTCCTGACCCCCTCACACCACAGCCATTGGGATGTCCATTGGAAACCTGTCCTTGGCTATTGGCCATGGCTTTCCTCTCTTCCTTAGGATTTCCAAAACCTGTTGTGGAATTCAGCTGGCAGCCCAAATTCTGTTGGGAAGAACATTTACTGTTGCTACTTGAGGACAATGTAGAACAGTTTTGTTCATAAACCTATAAACACTGAACCTTCCTGACCCTCCATGTTCCAGATGTGAATGTGACTTAGAAGACAAGGCCTGACAGGCACCTCTTCCTTTCAATGACTGAAAGCACTTGTCTGGGGAATGGTGTTTAGGATGAGGGTGTTGATTTCACTGTTGTATTGTACATATGTAGAAAGAGTTTGGTGGTTGGAACTGAAGATGGTCTTCCTGGGCCGTTCCAAGTAGAATGGTTGCTTGGTCTGGTCATGATGCAACAGAGGGGATAGTGTCTGAGGGAAGCTGATCAGCTGGGCTCACCTCTGCTTTCAGTCAGTGCTGATGGAAGTCATGAACTGCAGTTGCTAGGGGTTAAAAAGAGTGTTCTGGGTGGCAAGGAGAGGTGTGGAGAGGCGTGAACTGTTCTTTGCCCTGGGAGCATCCTGTGGGGCTGGTAACTTGCAGCATGGTGTGAACTGACTGAGCAGTAGAGAGGCAGGACTGACAGTGCTGTTGTGTAGCTAAGCTGAATGAGCTGTGAATGGGTCTATGGAGGCTGCACCAGTGTGCAGCTGAGCTCACAGGAAGATGTAACACCACTGAAGCAGGCTGAGTATCAAGACTAAAACCAGTGAGGAAGGTGCATTTCCCATCTGTGCCCTGCTTCATGGCTCTGGCAGGGCCCTGGAGAGTGCTGTGAAGGAGGAGGCTGACTCTGCAGATGAAGCCTCTGGAGGTGTTCAGGTGCTTGAGGCAGAGCAGAGCCCATGATGAGTCCAAGCTGTCAGTGTTGAGTGACTGGAAGCTCTCAGACACCATAGATGTGCTAGAATGGAGCTGGCTGCTGTTCTAAGTTGGGAGGCAAGTGGGAGATGGATGTTTCTCCTCTTGTGTTGCGGTTCAGATCCCCAGACTTCTGCTGGTCTGATAGGCTTTATGGCTTGATAGTGTTGAAAATACTTCTGTGCATGTGGAGTGTGATTCATTTAAATACTATCTGGAACTTCTCACCTCTCCCATGCGGGAAAAGGGACTGCTGTTGTCTGAGCTGTCTGGCACACAGTTTCAGGACACCGTGTTCTAATCCAGGGACTGTTCCAGCTGGAAGCTGCATCAGGCTGGTTTGTGCTCTCCAGGGGTGAAGAAGTGTACTCCTGTAGCTGTGGGGTGCTTTCCTACCTGAATCCCTCAGGTAGGCAGAGATCTGCTCTAAGCAATAGCAACTCTTCATTAGAGATGGTAGAAAGAGGGATTTGAAGTGTCTGGGGACTCTGTGCATCTCTTGCCCAACTCACTGCTGTTCTGCAGAGCACTCAGGTACCAGTTTCTGGGTATCACCATGCAGGCTGCAGTTTGGAGGTGTTCGTTTCGGTTGTGAGCAGGCAGAGGAAAACATTTCCTACTTGGTGTTCCTGCTGTAGGGAAGCAAAGGTTGGGCAAGGACACAAAGTCCATATTGATTGCTAAAACTATGCAGGCCCTTTGCTTACCTGCTTTTGTGCATGAGCAGCACAGCCTCCGTCCTGCCTGTGGACTTTGCCCTACAGGCCTGTAACTAGCACTAGCACCTTGAGAACAACCACCCCTTCATTATGTTCTTTTTCAATTCCTTTTGAGGCTAAAAGGCTTCAGCTTGTGCGAGCTGAATTGTCCCTTGTGGGGGAGCAGCCTGTCACATTTCCCCTCCATGCAATGACTATGGAAGGGCTGCACAAGCACCTGGCCAAGTCGGAGAAGTGGCTGTGCTCCTCCTGTTGTTGCTTGCTGTGCCTCGGCCTGAGCCCCGCTTGCCTGCTTTGCCATGGATGGGTGACACGGTGCCTGGGTTGTCCTCCTGCTGCTGCTCAGCACTGAGCCCGAGCTGCTGTTAGGAACCTGCACAGCTCCCCTGGAACCGAGGGGCCTTCACCAGAGCCGAGAGGTGCGAAGGGCTCAAAGCACTTGAGGGATGAAGGAGCAGCTGTATCTCCATCCCAAGGAGGTTCTGCTGACTCAGCACCCTCGGGGGACAAGCCCTGCCCTCCCTGGGGGTGCGAGGAGCAGGTTATGAGTTCACCCTTCACCAGTGCTGAGGCATCACCCGGGTGAGCGGGCAGCGCATCCATCCTGTCCTCTGCAGGCAGGGCTCTGGTACCCCTGGGGTGCCCTGTGTTCTGCTGCTGAGGAGCTTCTGCACTAGGTCATGGGCTGACCTTCCTCTTGTATGTTTGTGTACATAGAGAATGCTTTTGGCCATCTTCAGCATGGTCCTTGAGCAGAAGTGTGTTATGTGTGAGGAGGGGGGGGTAAAAGAGAGAAAATACAGAATAAATGTATATTTTTGTTTGTAAAATAAAAAAAATAAGTTTGGCATAAATGGTCATGTGTTCTTTGTCAAATACTCCGGATTATGGAGAAAAGTGACCTTTGAGGTTTGGTTTTTCCATCTGTGAACAAATACGGCAGATGATAATGGAATAACAATGTCCTTGGGTCAGGGATGGATCTGTTCCTTCTTGGAAGGCTATGGGAGGGGTAGGGCAGCGGATGGCTCTGGAGAATGGTCTAAATAATTGTCAGTAAAACCTTTGACTCCTGGTGGCTCTTCCTGGGCATGTCTGGCAGCAGCGGTGTTGCTATAGGGTCTCTCCGCTATAGGGTCTCTCCGCTATAGGGTCTCTCCGCTATAGGGTCTCTCCGCTATAGGGTCTCTCCGCTATAGGGTCTCTCCGCTATAGGGTCTCTCCGCTATAGGGTCTCTCCGCTATAGGGTCTCTCCGCTATAGGGTCTCTCCGCTATAGGGTCTCTCCGGTCACGTGGAGGCTGAAATTGACGACTGTGGGTTTCTTGTTCCGGGCTCTGGCAGGAGCGCTGTCAGGCCCCTGATGGCCGCGGAGGAGCAGCTCAGACCCCATGGGGTCTCCCTGTTGGGAGTCCCGGGTTGAGCCTTGTCCCTTGGGCAATGCCCCCGCGGGATTCCCGCCATGGCCGAGTCCCACCGCGCCCTGCGCACGGCAGCCGGCGGACTACAACTCCCAGCCTGCCCCGCGGCTCGCGGCCAGCACCGCGCCGCTCTATTGGCTGTCCCGCAACCGGCCGCCAATGGGGCGCGGGTATGTTGGCAGGTGCGCAAGGGGAGAGGCGCCGGTCACAACGGCAGCGCGGTGTATAGGGGGGGGCTGCCCTGCCGGTGATGGGGGGCAGCGAGAGCAGCCAGAGCAGGAAGGTGTCCTTCGGGCTGGACGAGCGGCAGCAAGTGCGGGTGCTGCAGGGCATCAGGGTGAGCCGGGGAGCGGGGTGCAGGGTGCAGGGCTGAGGGCGGCCCCGCTGAGGGGATGCGGTGAAGGGGACACCAGCAAGGAGGAGGGAGGAAGAGCGGGGCTGCGGAGGCGGTGGGTGAGTGGGAGCGATGGGAAAGGGCTGAGTGCATCAGCAGGGACACACCAGCCCTTTAGCTCCCTTTTAAGCCGCTCTCAACCGTTTTTCCCTCCTCACGGCTTAATGACCCCTTCTGCTCGATGCTGAAGGCATTGCCTGGCTCAGGGCATCCAGGAGACACCTCTGCCCTTGGTAAGGACACCAAGAGCCCGGGTGAGCACAGCAGTGTGTGACCGTGCAGGGCCATAAGAGGCTGTGGGGATCAAGGGTGTTTCTAGGGATAAAATGGGAAGTCAACATCCCATCTTTCCATGGGTTGTCCTATCCCATCCTTCCGCGGGTTGGAGGGACCGTGGTGTTGAAATGGGGCAAGTGGCAAAGCAGGAGCATGGGAACCAAGCTATGGTGGTGAAATAGACGCTCACTGAGCGGCCCTGGTTGGTTTTGTTCCCGTGCTCGTACGTTTCAGCTCTCTGAAGATGTAGTGAACAGGATGAAGGAAGCCCCGCAGAGCAAAAGGGACGTCCAGAGACCGCCCCGTGCGCCCAGTGCCGCAGCGCAGCCCTCGCCACCGGCAGCAGCAGAAGAGAACCCCAGATCTCCTGCAGGTATTGTCAGGCCCTGCGGCACTGTCCTGGTTTAAGCTCAGCCTGTCCCTCAGAAGCCACGCAGCCGCTCGCTCACTCCCCTCCCTTCTTCCTCCTCTGGCTCCCTGAGGGATGGGGAGGAGAATGGAAAGAATGTAAGTCCCATGGACTGAGATAAGAGCAGTCCAGTAACTAAGGTATAACACAAATCACTGCTGCTACCACCAATAATAATAATGATAAGGGAAATAACAAGGGAAGAGAATACAACCGCTCACCACCCGCTGACCGATACCCAGCCCAACACAAGCAGTGATCTCGCCCTTCCGGGTAACTGCCCCCAGTTACATCCTGGGCATGACGTGCTGTGGTATGGAATATCCTTTTGGCTAGTTTGGGTCAGGTGTCCTGTCTCTGCTTCCTCCCAGCTTCCCCTCCTCCCTGGTAGAGCATGAGACTCAAAAAGTCCTTGGTCAGACTAAACATGACTGAGCAGCAACTAAAACCATCGGTGTTATCAGCGCTGTTCCCAGGCCGAAAGTCAAAACCACAGCACTGCACCAGCTACTAAGAAGGAGAAAAATGACTGCTACTGCTGAACCCAGGACAGTCAGGATGGGGCTGTTTGTAGGATTTATACAATCACAGAATCCCAGCCTGGTTTGTGTTGAAGGGACCTTAAAGCTCATCCAGTTTCAACCCCTGCCACAGAGGTTGGACATCTTCCACTAGAGCAGCTTGCTCCAAGCCCCTGTGTCCAACCTGGCCTTGAACACTGCCAGGGATGGGGCAGCCACAGCTTCTCTGGGCACCCTGTGCCAGTGCCTCAGCACCCTCACAGGGAAGAGCTTCTGCCTAAGAGCTCATCTCAGTCTCCCCTCTGGCAGGTTAAAGCCATTCCCGTTGTCCCATCCCTACAGGCCCTGCAATAAACAAGGCAGAACTTCTGTATTTAACCTTTTGTTCCTGGCAAGCTGCCTCATCTCCATTGCACGCCCAGGAGTGTGTTGTGGATGGGTGGGGGAAACATGGCTTTTTGTTCTTGGAAAGAAGCTCCCAGGGAAGGATGGGCTGTCTGAGCACAGCTTGGCAAGCGGGTGAGGAGAGCTCGGTTTCTGAACTTGTCTTTACAGGTCAGAAAACTGATTTCTGTTGGCTCTTGGATACACTTTGTTGGTAGGTTATCGGTGTGTGTTTGTTTGAGGCATCTAGAATAAGCTGAGGTAGAGGAACCAGGCTTTTGCTTTATGCTTGCTGGTAGCCTGCATCTTTCCTGAAAGTGGGTCTCATGGATGGCCTGAACTCCGTCAAATAACCTCATCTCCACTTGTGGGATCCCTTGTAATCACAAGGAAAGCAGGAGGTCAAGGGAAAGACTTACTGGAGCTAGAGGAAGAAAATGGAAAGTAGGTCTGAACCCATGCTTATGCTTCAGTATAAACCAGGGTTTGAGGAGTTAACCTCCTTACCTAGAAGCTTCTGTAGCATGTCTTGCTCAGTGTGCCTGGTGAAGACAATGCTGTCAGTGCCTCTTTGTTTCATAATGCAAACTTATGTTTTCTATAGAGACTTTTCCAGGTGTTATCTCTCAATGGGATAACCCTCACATATGAAATCCTCATCAGACCATTTCTGATGTGATGAAGGGCTGTGTTTGGTACTACAGCTCTCACAGGTTTCTATCCTTTCTAGGAACCCAGCTGCCAGTGGCAAGTGACTCTGGTCAGGATGCTTCTGCTGCAAAGCAGGAACTGCACAGGAGGTGAGGTGAAGTTCTTGAAAAGAACAGTAGTTAAACTCCTTTTGCTCTCTGTTTTGCCTCAGTCACAGCACAAGGACTGTGCATGTTAATGCCAGTGAATCTCCTTTGAAGCCTTTTTCAGTTATGGGCCATGGAATACAGTTTTTTTAGGGAAGCCATCCCTTAGCCAAAAAGAGCAGTCAGGGGAGCTGGGGGCAACTGGGTGGTGGTTGGAGAAACAGGGAGGACCAATGTAACGAGTGGGTAACTTCAGGAAACTTGTGTGTGATGTGCATTGCAAGGCCAGTACAGCATGAACTTGAATACAGCTGCCTTTTCTGGGACAACTGAAGGAGTCTGTATGTGATACTTCCCTTAGGGGTTTTGGAATCTCAAACATGGTGATTGATTTAATCCAGTTTACACCTAAAACAATCAGATCCATTTTATCTCTCTGATTGTTCCTCCTCCTTTTCCTAGACTGGATGTCTAAGGACCTTGGCAAGCTGGAGGCATGGGAGAGGCTGAGGGAGCTGCATTGGCTTAGTTTGGTGAAGAAGTGGGACCTAATTGTTGTTTTCAGCTTCCTAAAATAGTGAAGTAGAGGCAGTGCTCTCAGAGGTGCACCCAGAGGGCAAGGGACACAGATGACAGCAAGGAAGTTCTGCCTGGCTATGGGGTGACCCCTGACAGTGAGTGCAGTGAAGCACTCCATCAATCTCTCTTTGCTTGCGTATGGGATTTCCAAGGCTTGCATTACACAAGCTAAGCCATGACCCTGTTTCCAGAAGCCTCTTGATCACCTCCTCTCTGTTTGCTTTGGTGCTCATACAGGTACGAGCAAGAGCAGGCGCTGGTTCAGGAGGAGCTGCTCCGGCTGGCCAAAAGAGAGAAGGAAGCAGCCAGTGCTGCCCTTCAGCGGGAGAGGGCCAATGCTCGTGAAGAGAGGCAGAGAGTAGCCCAGATGGTGAGTAACAAAAACCCCTGTATGTTTCCATGCAGGACAGGCTAAAGTATCTCTGCTTGAGCAGATTCATTACGTGTCACTTGGGCGATGAGCTTAGAAACTTTGATTTGTGCTGGAACACTCACCACCTCCTCGTTCCATTTGTCACTTCACGTCTGGCTTACAGTGTAGCTGGCAGGCTACACTTGCAGCATGTCATGCAGTGATGCTAAGGCCAAGCTTGCAGGGAAAGGCATGAGCAGTGACTGCTGGGTTGTTGGTGGTGCTTAATGTGCACATGATAGGACTTTATGTTGGTTTAAGTCCTAACATTACTGTGCCAGTGGTGTTCTGCCTGTAAACAAGGCAGAGTCTTGCTGGAGCTGCCGCTTTACTGACCTGCAGTGGTGTGAGGTGTTGGGGTGTGACATTGAGGTGGGACTCTGCTTGCCACAGTGAGACCAAACGTCCCCCATTTAGACTGGGATGTTGGAACTTCATTGAGAGAACTGGACTGATTCTCTGTGCCTGGTACGTACTGAAAGGATGGCTTAGGGAGAGGGCAGACTTCTGATGGACTTTGTTGTGTTCTTCCATCCTCCTGATCTGTTGCGTGCACTTGATTTAAATGAAGAATCCTTTGAGGATGTTTTCTCTATAGTATTTCCCACCTGTATTACACTTGCAGCTTCTGTTCTGGGGCTTGAAGGCTTCTTCAGCAAGAGGCTGTATTTTCAACCTCAGGACATTGTCCTGAATTTACAGTCCTGAAATTGCCTCCCATGCATTGGTTTGCGGGTTTGGACCCGTTGGTGCTTTTTGACTCCCTGATAACGTTTGTGTGTGGTTGGATTGGGAGTCTCTGAACCTGTTCTGGATACAGCCTGGGCATGGCTGCTGCATTGTGGGAATTTTCCTCTTGGCAGCTTGTATCCTGACCATGGGAAGGTGGAGGATTGCTGAGCTTTGGGATAGTCATGTCTGAGGCGGGTGACTGCGTTCCTCTGCATAGCACATGTGGGTCAGCAAATGCAGCATTAACTCTCTTTCCACTAGAAAGAGAATATTCTCTTTATGAATGCAGTTAATGGACTTTGGTAAAGGAGGGAGGGAGAAGCTGATGGATTTATTGTCCCATTTAAAGATGTGGCCTGGCTTAGTCCTCTTGCAGTGAGGTGTGGAGTAACCCTGGAAAATTGTGGCTAGCAGAGTCAGGCAGTGCTTGTGAAGTCCTCTAAAAGGAGTTGGAACCTGGCTGCTAACATACAAAGCCTCTTCTGTTACCTGAGTTAGCTTTTAACCCTGCAGTGTCACATACCCAGATACTGCATACTTGGTGCTCTGCAAAGATCTGATCAGCTTCTCCCTGTGTAACCCATAAAAGATAAACAGTGACCATGGAGTGTTAACCCAGGATGTGATGCAAGAATGAGAAACTGTTAAATTTTATTGCTCTTAAACTACCTCTTGATCAGTCATAAATCCAGGGTCCTTAAAAATGGAATAGTCTGGCCTGTCCTTGCAGAGATGGGGTCAAAGCCATTGTCTGTTGGCTGCCTGATGCTTTCCTAAGCATGAGCTGTTCCTGTCAGCCTTTTAAGTTATTGGGATCCCTATCAGACCTGCTTTATCTCAGCTGTGGTCACCTTTTGGGCATGGTCACCTTGTTGTATTGACTCAATCCTACTCAAATCTTATCTGTCCTTTGTCTTCCAGTGTTGTTTTCTACCTTCATTTGGAATAAGGCTTGAATGTGTTTCTTGGTTGGTCTGCTTTTTAACCCTAGCATCTGGGACAGATAATGGTGTGAGCTGCTCTTTCATCTCTTCTGTGTCATTCTTCTCTTTCAGGTAGGAGATAGTAGTGGAACTCTAGGAACCTAGTGCTGGTCCAGGTGCAGATGGCATTGGAAATTAGCTACTTAAAGGGAGCAATTCCCAGGTGATGGTGGTTGTTGCTTAATGGGGAGGCCATTAAAAAGTGGGGTAACTCCCATGAAAGAAAGAACTGAGTAACTTGCTTCTAGCAGTGCTTGGTTTAGTGGGGATTGAAGATCATGCCAAGGCCAATTGGAAAGGTTTGCTTTATTAATTTCCTTATTTGATATTTGCAGTAAGATCTTGAGCTGTGCCCTCAACAGCTCAATAGCTTGGGGATCTGTAGCTTTCTCCTGTACAGTTGTCTCCAGTGGTGCTGCAATGTTCTCCTTTAACCTCCCTATTCACAGACCATCAATCCAGGTGTGATGGCTGCATTTTGGAATTATTTCATTTTGATTGTGCTGCATGACACTTGTCATTTAACCATGAGTTCCATTCTCTGACTTTTACTATTGGCAGTGTTGCTCTGAAGCACTTCTGCTGTCTCATCATATAGCGTGCATTCCTGAAGAGACTGTGGCCAGAGCTAATCTTTGGTAGGGAACCTGCTCTCTGCTTCCAGGGCCAAATGCTTCCTCGTTTATGGGGTAATGTGCAGGTTAAAACCTGTTGTTTTGGTGGTTTATGTGTTGATGTGGCTCATTTGTTATGAGAGGGATTTGGAGTTAAGTAGCTATGTCCTGTTCCACGTTTTTGTCTTGATCTCCCTGGGATTTTCCTGCCTTTGAACAAGGGACTTGGCTTCTAGATAAGTTTTGAGTAAAACTCCTTAAAGTTTTAGTTTAAGCAGCAGACCAGCTCTGTAAGTACAAACGGTGCAACGTTCACTTTGCCTATGGCTTTTGCTTAGCCAGAGGGGTCTGACTCACGTGGATGCTGAGCTGCTGCGGAACAGCCCTCGCTGTTAGAGCTGCAGTGCTTGTTTGTGCAGGCTCATGGTGCTGACTGGACTCTGAATAATTGAATGCCTTAGGTACTTCCAGCACAACAAGGATTATGTGGACAGTACTCCCCAGCAGGGCCTGGGGTGTTTAGCTAATGCCTGGAGCATGCCTTGAGTCCCATGTTAAATGCCCAAGAATTAATACAGCTTTCTTGAAAGCCTTTCTTAGTTCTAGCACAAGGAGCTTCCTAAGTTGCCACAGTCAGGTTATTTAATTGCTTCCCTGTGTTGTGAATGGTCTCACCTCTCCCCAGCACCAGGAATCTTTCCTTTTTCATTTCCAATTAATCAAAACCTCTCAATTTCTCACTTCTTTTGGCTTTCTCCCCCCGCCCCGTGTTCTTCCCAACAAAGGAAACTTTGCAAGCAAAGCTGCTCTTTCTTCTCCTTCTGCCTTTGTAATCTCCTCAGGCTGAGCAGCATGTGCAGCAGATGCATCGCGGGCCTCTTGGAGCTGGTGACTCGCTGCCTGATGGCTTTTGAGACAAATCAATGTGGAATGGGGCTGGATAAAAGCTGGAGCTGGAGGGGGGGGGTTAATAAACGCGATTAAGCGAAGACATCTCATTACTGCTCTAGAAAGGGAGGATTAGAACTTGGAAAATAGGAGGATCTCATTTAGGGGCCATGTGCTTCTGTGTTATCAGGACAGAGGGAGAGCAAATAGAATAAATGAAATTAATACTTTGGAAAGAAGCATTACCCGGGTTTGAGAATTGAACTAATATGATTTGTGCAAAGCCCTCAAGTTCTTATCTCCCCATTTAATACTGCGAGGATAATGGCTTTGTCAGAGTTATTGACCAAAAGTCCTCCTCTCCCCTCTCACTTTGAGAGGATGAATTCATGGGGCAGCAGTAGGACAAACTTTGCCCTGTGATGAGCTTTTCCAGACAATGCCAATGGGCACTGGTTGCTGTTGTGAATACAGACACAGAATTCCTAAGTTGCTGGGAAGTATTTCTTCAGCCATCAATGATGGATGCTCGCTGTTCCCAGGGCTCCTGGCCATGCCCTGCTCACTACCGTGCTGCATGGCAACCTCTGCTTTCTGGTGGCTCCAGCATTGTGCTGTTTAGATGAGTGTGGTCTGGAATATAACATGGGAGGGAATACTTCCAGGGCTTTAGGGTCTCTCTCTGGTTGCTGCAGTAGCTGGTAATAATTGGTCATAGACTGTTGAATTCTTTCTTGCTCCTCAGATCCTCTCACTCATTGTTCATTCAGGAGAGAAGAGCTGAAGGAGGAAGTATGACTGGGAATGCCTTCGATCAGGGCACTGGGGTTTGATATCGGTGTCACCTTCTGAATGGGGGATTCTGAACTGTTGTGGCATCCTTTGGACACCTCCACTCTTGTTTTAGTGTGCATTGGTCTGTTGAAGGTTTAACTGGTGTGTTTCTACTCCGTTTCACAGCATGTGGAGGTGAAAATGCTGAAAGCAACATAAAAAGCCCACTTAAAAGTTGATGCAATGGAGGAGCATTTTGGTTGTCATAAGGCAGTGCTCAGGTGAAGTAGGTTTCTCTTTCTGGCCCTGTTGGGGTGGAGGAATGATCCAGTTGGCCCATTCATAGCCAGCTTTTGTTAGGTTTCTGGTCAGTGATGAAGCTTCAGGTCATTCTTGCCTCAGTTTTCCCTGTGAATTACCCACTGTTGCTGAGCAGCATCAGCTGTAGATGCAGCTGAACTGGTGCTGAAGATGGCTTTAGAAATAAACATGGTTTAGCTTCGCTAATGCTTTAGTTTACCTGGCGATAAGCTGGGGATCAGCTTCATCCTGGCAGATTAACCACAGGTGAGCATCTCTAGATTAGACTGGGGTTGGTTTGTGGGTAATCTCCTATCGTTGTGACAAGCTGCAGTGGCTGCCTGGGGTCCAGTAAGTACCATGGGTTTGAAACTGGTAGCAGTGGAGTGAGGCTGTTCTGGAGGTCAGGCCTCTGTTCTCCAAGCCTGTCACTTTTTCCCCTCTATTTATCTGAGTTGGTGCAATAGAAGGTGTTGTCTCTGAGAGCTTTGTGTTGTGGTTTGGCTGTTGCTCACATCAGGGCTGGTTTTGTTTGTCCTGTTTGCTTTGTAGCTCCCTAAACCCCCTCCTCTTTCCCAAGCTGCAAGCCTGTGCAGCAGATAGGTTGGCTCTGGGAGGAGATGTTGCCAACACAAATTGTGGGTTTAGTATTTAGTACTCTGTCATT